CCCCCTCCTGTTGATGAGCCTGTCTTTTGTCCTGGTAGTTCTCTTAACGTTTTTTTTCATGCACATCTCCTTCATCTGATATTCATTCTTTCTATAGCCGTCTCTATTTCTGAGATGAGGCATCGTAACTATTTACGCTATTTACATTACTCGGACGCTTGTCCTTATCTTTGTCGTCATTTTCACGGCGTTTCGGCCGTTTTACTCAACGACCTTCTTCAGAAGATTGTAATTTCGAACTGAACCCATTATTTCGTCCACCGGGTTAGATTGTTCTAGTTCCACATGCCATGCCTCTCTCGTATGTCTCAGTTTCAGTTATCTCCCCTTAACTCAGCTCTCCAAGTTTTTCTTCACTTCTGCTCTAGTCAAGTATTGAACTCACAACCCTTTCGGTTAAGTGATTGGATTCAACCATCGCTTTTATCCACTAGGCCATGTGTCCTTAAGTCTAGAGCGTAGAATATGGCAACAAAGATGAGGACGAAATCCGGACAATGGAAATAGTGTAAATCGTTCTTTCCATTTCTGCATATTTTTTCGTTGAGTCATTCCTCTTTATACCTGCTTGCATTTGTTCCATATTTCTTTGTCCTATATTTTGTTGTGTCTTGATATTTTCTTTCTTTTTTTTTTGTCTCCTTTTCATCATGCCGTGAACTTTATTTGTTTTCCATTCATTGTTTTGTCTTCGTCTATTTTTCTTTTGGATTATCACTTTCCTTATTATTTTGTTAATTTCATTTTTTTTTGCGGTGGGGGGGGGACCGATAAAACACGCCCGTTTACTTTGACAGCTAGCATTTTTCATTTTATTATTATTAGTATTATTCGCCTTTATTATTATTTGTGTTTGTTACTAATTAATACAAAAAGGGTGTTTCATTAAGACGGATTATATATAAAGGTGTTTCATTAAGACGGATCAAAGCAAGCAGTAAATAAATCAGTGTTATTGGTCAAAATGTATTTATTAGTCTATTGGGTCATGTTTTTTAAGTCATAGCAATTATGTGTGAAAAATAATATTGCCCAAATGTCCGCCAAATCTGAAAGAAAAAGAAAAAAAAATCATTAGACGCTTAAACTTAATTCACATTTAAAATCGGTTCAAGTTATTATCATTATTATAATAATGAATGAATTTCATTATTATTATTATTATTATTATTATTAATATTATTATTATTATTATTATTCAATGAACCAGAGTCTAAATCAAATGCGAATTTGTTGGTGTGAACTGATACGAAAAAAAAATACAAGAAGACACCAAAAGCCAAGAATGGATTTTCGAAATGTTAAACAAACAGTACTTCCGCTGTAAAAAAAAAGAAAGATGGCAGTTGTTCGGCGTCGGATGATAAGGAGAGTTGGGTTGAGGACAGCATCTGCTGAAGAGAAGGCAATGTTCTCAATGCACCGAATAAATCCGATGAGAGAATTCCTTTTTCCTCCCGAGTTCAACTCCTCAGTTGAGCGATTCAAAGAGTCTTAAGAAGAAGCAAAAAAAAAAAAAAAAAAAAAGAAAGAAAAATTTTATTTGATTTCCTTCTCATAACGTAACGGACGCGAACAATACGAACACAATAGACTTAATTGAAAATCTCAGAGCCCACAAAACCGAGTGGGGTCTGCATCTAAGAGGTGCTCTTTGTCTTCCTATTATTTGTTATATTTTTCGTCAGCGGAGCAGCATTGAAAGTCGTGCAGATTATGCATTCGTTATAATGGTTGTGGGTTGTTTTTAGTAATTTAGCAAGATTGCAAAGTTACATCCAGCGACATATTTATCAAGACAAGTCGAATATTTACTTAACCAGACAAAAAAAAATTATCCTATTAACATCGCTCTCCCCTCCTCTCTCTCTCTCTCTTATTTACCCTCAGCAGAGCCTAGGGCCACAGCCTGACTCTACAACACGATACTGTTGTGGTTCCGAAGTAAGTAGCCTCACACCCAAAGGACTTTCTATTCAGAGTTACCCTTAATTTGAATGGTGGCCAACCAAAGTTGAAGAATCCAGTCTACCCTGTTATTTAACTAGGGAAGCAAAGAAGAGCAGTGATTTACACCTTTCCCATTGGTATCTCTTTTTTTCCTCTTCTTTTTAATCATTTCACCCGAAACAAGGCGATAATGTCACTAAGATGCAACGGGTTACTGAGAGTGAAAGAGAGTGAGAAAACTTAGTGAGGAGAAAGGACAATAAAAGAACAGGTTTCAGGAAGACAGATGATGGCGATAATGCCACTAAGAAAGGGAAAGACGCAAAGGGAATAAGACTTACTGAAAAGAAGGACAATGAAAGAGAAGATGATGATGGCGATAATGCCACTTTGGTGGAGTGAAAAATGTGAAGACTTTAATAAAATAAAACAGGTTTCCGGAAGACAGAAGATGGCGATAATGCCACTAAGACGCAAATTACTAGGAAAGAGAATGAGAAGACTTTAAAGAGAAAGGACAATAAGAACAGATTTCAGGAAGACATGATTAGAGATGCCACTAAGACGCAAGGGGTTAAGACGAATTAGGACTTTAGTAAGGGGAAGGACAAAAAGAACAGGTTTCAGGAAGACAGATGATAATAATGCCACTTAAGACGCAAAAGTTCTATAAGAAGATTTAGGAAAATTAGAGAATGGTTTCAAAAGACAAAAGATTTGAGAAGGAAGGGGACAAAGAAAAAAGAACAGGAAGGACAATCAACAGGTTTCAGGAATCAGGTGATGGCGATAATGCCACTAAGACGCAAGGGGTTAATGAGAGTGAAAGAGAATGAGGAGGCTTTAATGAGAGTAAAGACAGAAGTTAGCGATTGACGTTGCAATTGCATTTTTTATGATTGTAGTTGGCAGGGAAGCAAGAAATCGGAAGGTATTTCCTCAGGCAAGAAGTGCGAGAAAGGATCCAGTTAGAATAGACAATTGCATTCAGCTCGTTCAACAGTAAAAGCGACAAAAATAAAGGCAATGAACTTGTCTGAAATTTGGACACAGCTTGCTTGTTTCCCATTTCGAGCTGCAAATGCTACACGACCTGCACACCTCTAATAAACCCGGCCAATATCAATGCGAACAAGGGATAAATAAATTAAAAAAATGAGGCAAATGAGGAGAGCAATAATTCCAGTTGTAGTTGGAGCACTAGGATTGATTGGAGAAGTTTCGATAGATCATTATTGTGTTATGGTGAAACATATATATTTCTATAGTTATTTTTTCTCCACCCAATATAAATAGGAGTAGTAAGAGAAAACAAGGTCAGTCGAGGTCGGTCGACCGGCTGAACATTTGAACTCTCTGCCTTCGAGGGAGAAAACCCGAACGAGGCTACAAAAATGGCGGAGTCTCGTTGGGGAGTAAAACCTGACCCTGAATCCATTTATAATCAAACATGGATCGGGTATATTTACCCGAGTCCACGGGCTCGGAGATCCCACGTTAAACCGGCCTTAATGCCACATGATACCCTCATGGGGGGGGTGACTAAATACAAGTGATGTTGGAATATTTATCAAATTCTTTGCCTTCAGGCGACTGGAACCTGACGAGGCTACGCCGAAGGGCAGAGTTTCGTCCGGGAGGTAGACAGACCCGAACCCGTTTATGCGGACTCTAAGAGCCCCACGACAAAATTCGGCGCTTTTAACAGATTTAAATGTGACTGCGTGTGGCAGTTATTTTTAAATAATAAGATGTCATTTTTACAGTATCTCGAATACGAAATTAGTCATTTAACCACAACAAGATTACTCTGCGTAATACCTATTATATCAAATCCTAACGTTTTTTACTAATGTCGAACTATTTAAACTTAAAAGTACTAAACAAGAACTCCACTCCGAAAAACTCCACAACATATTGAAATGATTTCTTTTGGTATTGTCTTCTTAAATCAAATACCAGATATTGTATTCAAAATAATATTTAAAATCTTCGAAGAGTTTTATTTCATTAAAAAATGTGTTTTTTGTTTACATGTATGTAACGCAATACAGTTTTCTTCAACAGATTTTGCCGTTTTCTCACCATAGGTCTCTAAATAAATTACCCAGGAGCAAATTAGTATTCAAGATATATTAAGGAAATTTTTTAATTTTTTAGTAGTACTACTACCTAGTAGTTCCAAATATAATTCTTTTTACTAATTTTCACATCTCATCTGTTTGTATTTAGTTTATATTTATTTTTTTGATTTGGAAAAAGGTTCATAGGCTCCCTGAATGGATTCTTGGTAGCCCATACCTTAAAGAAATACAAAAAAATTATACACACAGATAGAGCTCACACATGACGAAGAACGTTGTCTGTCTAAAATGTGTGTGTGATATTAGCTTTTTTTTTTCTTTTCTTTCATTTTTTACAAAACATGGATGTCATTAAGCAATTTTTGACCTTAGATCACTGGTTGGGACCCGGAAGTAAATGTTTATACAACAGAAACTCAAGGAAATAAGATTAATAATATTTGCTACAGGCCGTGCTGTATCTTTGAAGATCTTAAAAAAAATAACCTTTTACAAGCACCAAAATTTGGCAATCTATCCAATATGGCAAATGAGAACATCAATAATTCCAGTTGTAGCTTTGGTCTTTCTTTGATTTTGGAAAAGGTTCCGATAGATTCATTGAAAGGATTCAATCTTTCTTTAAAGACAAATTGAAATACCAAAAATTAATAATGAATGATTAAAAGATAATTCTACTTGGATAAAAGAAAAAAGTCTTTTATGTTGGCGAACGGATATTTGCCTTGTAGACGTTGCCTGTCCGTTTTCTATATTAAACGAAAAAAGTTTTCTTTCTTTCTCATAAAATTGAACTTTATACGGACTTTACGATTGTAAATTTTCTTTTTTTAAAAAATTTTGTTAATCTTTCATTTTGTTTCCTAAGATTTTTTTTTCTTTCACCTTTCTTCTTCCTTCAAAATTTTTTACTGGTGTTTTAAATTTCTTCTTACTTTCCTTCTGACTTTTCGCTTTCTTCTTAAAATGATAAATATCTTTTTTCTTTCTTTTTTTCAACTTTCAGAACAAATTTCTTCCAATTTCTTTCTTTTTTCTTTCCTTTTTATTTCCTTACCGTTCAATTGTTCTTTTCTTTTTTTTTTTCTAAATTTTGTTTTTTCTTTTCTGTTTCTTTTGTTTCCTTCTTTCTTTATTCTTTCTTTTAAAACTTATTCCTTCTTCAATCTTTACTGAAGATTTTTTCCTTCTTTGGTGAATTTCTTCCATTTCCTCTATACATTCTTTTTATCTTTCTTTTTTTTCATTTCTTTAGAAAAGATATATTTTTTCCTTAATTATTATTCTTTTTTCTTTTTTTTTCCTTCCTTCTTTCCGTTTAAGAAATACTTTTTTTACTTTAATTTTATTTTTTCTTTCTTTCCTTCCTTCCTTCCTTTTTCGTTAATCTTTTCACTTTTTTACTTTTTTACCGTAATTCTAATTTCTTCAGTTTCAGCCTTCCTTTTGATTAATTTTTTTTATTTTTACTTCCAATTTTTTCTTTCCTTTTCCTTCCTTCTTTTCTTTTCTTTTCTAAATTTTTTTACTTCCTTCTTTTTTTCATCATTTTTTTTTCTTTTTCCTTCCTTCCTTTTTTCCTAATTCTTTTCTACAATTTTTTTTTCCTTCATTCTTCTTTTTTTTCATTCATTCTTTTTTTCCTTCCTTCCCTTTTCTTCCTTTTTTTTCTACGTGGGAATTCCTTTTCTTTTCTTTCTTTTTTTTTCCTTCATTTTTTTTTTTTCTTTTTTTTTTTCCTTCCTTCTTTCTTTCCTTTCTTTTCCTTCCTTCTTTTTTCGCTAATTTTTTTCTACGTCATTTTTTTTTACTTTTTATATTCTTTTCTTTCATCATTTTCTTTTCTTTCTTTCATTCTTTTCTATGTTTCCTTCCTTCTTCTTTCATTCTTCTTCTTTTTCCTAAGAATTTTTTTTCCTTCTACAATCAATGTTCTTATTCTTTCTTTTCTTTTTCTTAATTTTTTTCTTCCTTCCTTTTCCATTCCTAATTTTTTTTCTACTCTTTTTTTCTTCCTTCTAAATTTCATCATTTCTTTTCTTTTTTTTCTTTCTTTCCTTCCTTCCTTCCTTCTTTTTCTTCCTTCTTTTTTCTTCCATTTTTTACTAACAAATGGTTTTCATTCATTTTTATGTTTCCTTCCTTCCTTTTCTTTAAAAATTCTTTCTTCGCTTTTTTTTTTTTTCTTCACTTCAAAATTGTTTATTGTCTTTCTTTTCTTCCTATTTTCTTTGCTTTTTTTTTACAATTTTTTTTTCTTTTCTCCTTCATCCTCCTTCATCTTTTCAAATTTCCTTTTTTTTCTTTTTCTTTTTTTTATTTTTTATCTCTTTCTTCGCTAATTCTTTTACTTCAACATTTTTTTTTTTTCCTTTTACTTTTTTCTTTTTATTTTTTTTTTTTTTTTTCATTCCTTCCTTCCGGTTTTCCTTTTTTTTTTCCTTCCTTTCTTTTTTTTTAATTTTTTTTTCCTTTTCGTCATCTTTTTTTCTTTTTTTTTTTTTTTGCTAATTTTTTTCATCTTTTTTTCCTCTTGGGCATTTTTTTTGATGTTCTTTTATTTCTTTTTTTGTAAATTGTTTATTTTCTTTTATTTTTTTTTTCAATTTCTTTTTTCTTTAATTTTCAAAATTTTTTTTTCCTTTCCATTCAGACGAACCATTTTGTCGCATAAAAAATCGTTTACCACTGTCAAAATTCAATACTTCCTTTTTTTCACAAATTTTAAATCGCCCCGAAAGAAAAAAAATCTATTTTTTTTTATGAAAACATAATAACCAGGCATTTAAAAGCCATTTGATTTTTTGATGTGAGAACTATGTTAAATTATAAAAGGAAGGCTAATTTTTATTTCAGTGAAATTTTTTTTGTCTTTTTGAGTGTACACTATTTTTTCAATTCTTTTTATCTTTATCTGTTCTGTAAGGATTCTGGATGCAACTTTCATCAATATAATTGTTTATTTTATTGATCCATGGAGAAACAGATTTATTTAAACTTCATGAACGATATGGTATTCGACGAATTGATGGCACTGGACAGACCTGTAGCCTCGCTGTAATTTTATCCAGCTTTTTAATATTTTTTTCTCTGTGTTTCTTCAAATCTCCCTGTGTGTTTGATTTTCATTTTGACATTTTTCATACATATTTATATATATATATATATATATATATATATATATATATATATATATATATATTTTGTTCAATAAAAAGTGACTCACCTTTTTTTTTTTACTAAATGTTCTCTTCTCCGATTAAACGAAATTTGAGCTTTTATTCAAAGGATAAGCGATCTAAAATCCGAAGAAGAAGCTTTGAAAGCTCTTTGAATTTAGCAGTAAGTAAAAAAGCATCCGTTCAGTATAATGTTCTGGGGATTTAAATTCTTTTCATGGAACTGGTTTCTTAAAACCTATTGAAAAGACCCTCAGGAGCGAGCAGTACAAGAAATTTTAGAGTCTTGTCTGCTCCCTTCTGCTGAAAATTGCAAATCGACCCCACCAAGCTCATTTTTATGCAGGATAATGCTCCCTGTCACAAATCAAAATTGATGAAGGAATACTTTGATGAGAAGCAGGTGAGTGTTATGACATGGCCGCCCCAATCTCCTGACCTCAATTCATAGAAAACTTATGTCTGGGCATTATTTGATTGTTCTGTTTTTTTAACTAATGCAATAAAGTCCCAGTTGAGATTGGTACAGGTTTTGTCCTGTAATCGGGTCTTGAATGGTTTCATACCAATTGATTGCAGTTTCGTTTCTGGCAGAATTGCAATCTTTTCCAGGGCAAATATTTAAATCAACTCTGTCGTGCCGATTTTTTATTCATATATACATATTCCGTGCAATCTATACAAAGATGGTCAATTGTTTTTTTTATTTATCATTTAATTTGTTTTTTTAGGCTAAATACAATTTTTCAGTAATTTTTTTTTTATTTCGAAATCTTAACTATTTCTATAAAATTTTAAAGAATTAAACTTTTGGTTTCAGTTTCTTTATTGATGGGTATAAAATTTTTTCTAAATCAGCTTAAAAATTTGGTACGGGCAAAAAAGTTTTCTTAAATTTTTATCTTGCCATCGTTTCCCACTTTATCGGTTGCATTTGCTTTTGCTTTGTCTTTTTTAGGTATTTCAAATAGTCCAAATCGATGTATTATTATTTTAGTTTTCTTCAATTTAAAACTCCATTTTGAACTTGTTATTATTATTATTATTATTATATGCATTAAATCAATTATTTTCATTGAAGATTAATTGTTTTTTATGATTGTATAACAAACTATGAAGAAGCATTTTTTTTTATCAAGAACTGAAATATGCGGAAAAATCAAAACATTATTTCTTTTTTTTTTATTAATTATCCTTATACTGTTTCAGACAAGTAAAACATCAAGAGCCATCCAGGGTAGAGCGTTACTGAATATACATTTTGATAAAAGGACAAAAAGCGTCCAGGGTAATACGATAAAATACGTCCGAAATGAGATTTATGACGATAAACTACGTCCGCGTCCTGGGTAAGACAATAAACTGCGTCCGCATCCTGGATAAGACGATAAACTACGTCCAACAGCAAGGCCTCTGATAAGGATGTTTTGAGGAGCGTGGAACCACCTCTTAATTGCTGATGTTCCCAGATCCACCCTGACCCGGAGTGGTAGCACCTGTTAGGATCCCAGCTATGAGTAAATAGTTAACCTCGAATCTGGGATTAAAACATTATGAAAGTGTAAAAATAGGTTTTAATACATTTTTGAGGAAAAAAATATATTTCAATACATTTTTAATTAAAAAAATATTACCAGCTATACATTTTTGAAAAAAAAAAATTCCAGCTACGCATAAAAAGTAAAACAAATTACCATTAATACATTTTAAAAAACATTACCAGCAATAAAAAAATTATTGGCATCAAATAACCCATAAAATGAAAAATAAACCAAACTTTTTCAAACCAAATAATTTACATATTCTTTATTCATACGAACACCTCCTAAAAATCTTGAATATATATAAAATAACCCATTGAGGTGTTGATATGCCATAGAACAAACCAAACCAAATCAAACAACTAAAGTATTTAATCAGTTTTTTTCCATGTTTGATTTGAAATTTCCTTAAGAAAGGCGCCGTACTTGACTTAAAACCAAAAATAATATTATGTTAAATTATAAAATATTACCAATAATAAAAATTTTTAAAATTAAATAACCCAATGAGATGTTGATATGCCGGAAGAAAACAAACCAAAACCAAACAACTAAATTGATCGAATAAATTGTTTTGGAAAGATGAACCAAACCAAACCAAACTAATCGTAGATCGAATTTGCAAAACAGATTATAATGAAACATTAGAATGCTCAATATGATTTTTTTTTTTATTATTTTCTTTTTATATATATATATCGAGCCCAGATCAATCTTCAACAGAAAGCACTAGAAGCTGTTTCGTCCACAACCGAGAATGTCAAAAGAAAACATTTCTATACAAATTGATGTCATTTGTTTTTCTGATACCAAAGGCCGTTGTTTAAAATTTGATGTTAGACTCGATATTTTGCTAAAAGAATTAACAAAAATTAACAATAAGGTTTATTTGTAAGAATGCCCTAATAATAAATTAAATTTTTATTTCAAATAAATTTTTGTGGTTCATTTTCATAAAAAACAAAGCTAACCAAACCAGTCTACTGAATATATAGCGTTTTATATTTTTACTGTCAGTTTTCGAAAATAAAAATACATTTTCATATTTGGGGTTTATGAAAAATCTAAAAGCAACTTTTTAAAACAATCAATTTGTCGAGGGAGAAAAAATTCATTTCGATACAGTGGTTTTGCAGGTATATTTGTTAAACTTTGCGCTCCTGTCATTGTTACTTGTCCGGTACAATGGGATAAGTGAAGCCATTATTGCTGTTTCATATTGATTGATTTGTTCTTTTTTTATGTCTTATCAACCCTTTCTGGGCTATTTAAAGCCGAAATATATTTTGGGTTGTCAGTATAGTTTTGCGCGTCAATACTGCATTAACAATTTATGGAGGATAATAATTTTTCCAGATTTGCATCTGGAAAAATTATTTGAAAAACAGAAGAGAAGAAAAACTTTTCTGAATTCTTTTTTTACCTTTTTAGAAGGCAAATTTTTTTTCTATTCCATTATATGCCTTTTCATCCCATCGTCTGTTAAAGCATTTTACAGATTTTTTTAAACATTAATCGTCCTTTTCGTTCCCTTTCTAACTTAAAACTTCCTCATTGATCTCATGTTCTGTCTATTTTTTTTTATAAATATTTTTGTAGAACCACATTTCAAACATGGGCTCCCAACCTTTCTCGTCATTGTGATTGGTTTTTTTTTTTTTTTTGGATTATCAGCCATTTGCAGTTTATTTAAAGCCAGAAAATATTTTAAGATTGTAAAAATGTTTTTGAGTTAATAATTATTTTTATATATTAAGATATACTTTTTTTTAAGCATTTCACCCCAAGCCAATTTTTTCTCCTTTTGCCACTCAGTACTTGAAAAGCATTTTTTAGAGAAAATTTTCAAGAGATTAAAATTAAATTTCAGGAGACTGAAAAGAAACACGATAAATTTGGTTAGGGCATTTGAGATGTTAGCGATTGAAATTACATTTGAATATTTGGAGATTATAGCTATCAATGGAAAAAAGTAATAGGAAGGTAATTTTCTAATAGGAAACACCTATTCTATAATTAATAGACTCTCCCAACTATAATTCATGTGCAAGAGTAGTAAATTTAACAAGGAGTCGACAGTCAATGGGTTTCTGAGTTCAGTCTTAAGTCCAAATTAAATAAAACCAGAACGAGGCTTCGTTTGAAAACTGGAGTATCTTTTTTTCATCTAAAAGACCCTGAACCCGTTTATACGGGTTCAAAATGGGATATTTACAGCCCAAAGCCCCATCCCACGGCTCTGAGATCCCACGTTAAACCGGCCTTGTGCCACATTGATGCCCTCCCACCTATAAACAAGGGTGACTAACCATTCAGTCTAAATAGTCTGAGTTCAGTTGAAGTCGACGACCGGCTGATCGGTTGAACTCTCTGCCTTCGGGCGGGGGAGGAACCCGAACGAGGCTACGCCGAAGGGCGGAAAAGGATTCGGGGAATTTAAACCGACCCTGAACCCGTTTATACGGGTTCAAAGGGCATATTTTTGGCCGAGCCCACGGGCTCGGAGATCCCACGTTAAACCGGCCTTGTGCCACATGATAACCTCGTGGGTGGGGGGTGACTGAATATCGTCGGTCAGTCAGTCGATCGGACGACCGTTAGTCGGATATACTAAAGTATCAGCGACCACAACTAGATTTCTCTGCGTCATTACCTATTATATCAAGTTCCTAACGTTTTGTACGTCGAACCTATTTTAGGACCGACTTAGTACAAATACAAGCCTCCACTGTGAAACCACTCCATAACAGAAAGAAAATGACGGGAAATTTTGAGAAAAAGCTTTGGAGTAAAAGAGACGGTTATTTTAACCGTTTCGACAGTGAAAGGGTGAGATCGTATTTACAGCCTAGTAGGGCGCTTAAATTCATGCATGTCTGGTAACTTTTAAAATAGCTCGTCGGAGCAGTTAAACGTGAAAATATTTGTAGAAAATTAGGGGAGGTGACTGCGCGTCTGTGGATAATATGCGACTATAGGAGATGCTAGATTCAGGACCAACCACATTGCATATCCGTCTCTGGATTCTATAGGGCCCTAAGAAAACAGCGGGGGAAAATTGTTTAACGAAACTATCTTTTTAAGATGGGATTACCCACGTTTTTAAAAATTATTTTTTTTCAGGGAATATAATGATCTGAACATTGGAGAAAAGACTTTCTATCCGATTTCTCATCCAGAATTTCTATCTTTTACACCATCAACACATCTTTGTTGTTTAACAGCACGGTTCTCGGAATCATTCTACTGAACGTTAGTAAAATTAATATCATGCTTTTCTCATAATGATCTCATTTGTTTTACCAGCGTTAAACTTAGTTTTTCGAAGCAGACCCGCTTTTTATTCAAAAACAATTTTTCCGCAATAAAAGGCGCCAACAATAAGCGAAAGTAAATCCGGCATTAAAAACACCAATGCTTTTTTATAACGAAAAAAACAAATATTATTAATCATAGTCGATATCAATTCATGTCAATAATTTTCTCCTTCCGCCTTTAATCAACGTTTCCCGTAATCGATCTGTGATGAAATTCATTCAGACTTCTCTCATGGTCAGTCGTTTTGGTGAAACTAGACTTCAACGCCATTTTGTTTTGCTGAGCGTCGGACATATTAACGCGATGGAAATTGCAATGTAAGCAAAACGTGCTAAAAGCTTTTTCTGTCAGAATAAATAAATGAATAAAAACGAAAAAAAAAAAAAATTCCTGTCGCTTCCCCCATCTTGAGTTGCCATTTCCTTTCGATCAACTATACACGTATATCGGTATCAAATATCGTTGTATTCGGGCTGTACTTTCAGCAAATAACATTATATCACGGTGTGTAATGGCAACATAATGGCATTCAGATTAAAAAGGAAAAAAGAAAACAAAAAAAAAAAGATGGCGGGTATTTGTTTCGGAAAATAAAGCTAATCAATTGGGAAAAGCAAATTGATATTACCGATGCCATTTTCTTCCTAAATCCGATTTCATTGCACACTTGTGGATCAGTTTGGTTTGGTTTATTTGGTTTTATGGCTTATCAGCCTCAATGATTCATTTAATGCCGACAAGATTTTTAGGATAGGTTCGTATGAATAGAATATGTATTCTTTGGTTTATTTTGGTTTATTTCATTTTACGGCATATCAACCTCAATGGGTTATTCAATGCCGTCAAGATTTTTTGTATAGGTTCGTATGAATAGAATATTTTTCATTCTTTTTGGTTTAATTTGGTTTATTTTTGTTTTCGGCATATCAACAATATATATGGGTTATTTAATGCCGACAAGATTTTTTAGGATAGGTTCAAAGAATATAGAATATGTATTTTTGGTTTAGTTTGGTTTATTTTGTTTTGTTTTATCAAAATCAATAGGTTATTTAATGCTAAGATTTTTAGGGTAAGTTCGTATGAATAGAAAATCTATTCTTTGGTTTAGTTTGGTTAATTTTGTTTACGGCATATCAACCTCAATGGGTTTATTTTATGCCGACAACATTTTTAGGATAGATTCGTATGAATAAAATATGTATTCTTTGTAAGAAATCAGTTTGGACATCAGGTTTCATTGGCGTATTTTTGTACGTCGCCTTTTTTAAGGATGTTTATCTTTACAACAAGAAACTGATTCGATCCTTTAGTTGTTTGGTTTGTTTTGTTTTTGTTTTTAACCAAATTTTTCAACACCTCAATGGGTTATTTAATTTCCGAAAATCAAGATTTTTTTATTAAAAATCTTTAAAAGATTTCTTCAGAAATGTATTGCTGGTATTTTTACTATAAAAAATCTCCTTTATACTTTCATGGTCTTTGAGGTTAACTATTTGCCAATAGCCGGGACCCTAACAGGTGCTACCACTCTGGCTCAGGGTGGACCTGGTAACAATAGCAATAATGTGGTGGTTCCACGTTCCTCAAAACCTCTCGATCAGACGCCTTGCTGCCGGATGTAGTTTATCGTTATAACCAGGACGAGTGTGGATCAGTATATTTAACCAAAAATTATCAATATTAACTAATTATTATTAACGGATGATTTCAAGGTTTTTCTATTTGAAATTCTTAATGAATCTTAATTTTTTAGATAATGATTGAAGAAGCTCATGGCGAGTTCTACGAAAATAAAATATCAGTAGAAATTCCCCTATTGCATTGTTAAGTATTTGAGCTTAACAACTTTAACAAAATATTGGAATGAGAGTCATAAATATGAATGTAGATCTTTATTTAAAGAAGTAAGAGGGTACAAAGGAAAAGATTCAAAATTAAGTTTTCCTTTTCATTGAAGAAGACGTTAAAATTATCAGAATGTTATAGCTTCTATCTTTTCTTTATTTCTCTCTTTCATTCATTTATTCATTCATTCTTTTTTCTTTCTTTCTTTATTTCTCTCTTTCATTTATTTATTCACTCATTCATTTTCTCTTTCTTTCATTCTTTATTTCTCTCTTTCATTTATTTATTCATTCATTCATTATTTCTTCTCTCCATTCATTCATTCTTTCATTCTTTATTTCTCTCTTTCATTTATTAATTCATTCATTCATTCATTCCTTCTTTCTTTCATTCTTTATTTCTCTCTTTCATTTATTTATTCATTCATTCCTTCTTTCTTTCATTCTTTATTTCTCTCTTTCATTTATTTAATTATTCATTCATTATTTCTTTCTTTCTTCCATTCATTCATTCATTCATTCATTCTTTCTTTCATTCTTTACTTCTCTCTTTTATTTATTCATTCATTCATTCATTATTTCTTTCTACCATTGATTCATTAATTCATTCATTTTTCATTCATTCATTCATTCCTCCTTTCTTTCTTTCATTCATTCATTAATGTATTTCTTTCTTTCTTTCTTTCTTTCTTTCTTTCTCTAAAACTAAATAGTTCCAATGATATGATCTTTACTTCTGCTTTGTGGGCAGGGGACCGGTAAGTTAATACAGGTCTATCCTCGGAATCAAAAAGAAATGGTCCATTGTTTATCTGAGGTAAAAGTATGGTGTAACCTAAGCGCTAATTAAACGGAAAGAAGGAATAAGAAGAATTATACATCTATGGGCATGTAGCCATGAGTTTAATGCCCTTGATTTTTATTGTTATTGTTTCAGCTGTTGTGCCCTTTTGAAATTAAAAGTTTCTTAAATCGACGGACATTGATTATTCTCATTTTGCTGTCCATGGCTAGAGATCTCATATTGTTGCTCAGCTATTGTTTGCTCTGTTTTCATTAGGTGTAGCTCTGGACAGCCCAGCCAGGGATTGAACTCACAATTTCTCTGTGAAACATGACGTTTTTTTGGGTTTTTTTGTTTCTTTTTTTCACGTTAATGTTTTAGTTTAGTAGTATTTTGAGGTGTTCGGCGAAACTATCTCTAACGGAGCTTATTCTATGTTCATCATCCTTTTCTCATATATGAAATTTCTTAAAACTGATCCAAATACCGATGTATTTGAACTGTTTATATGGTTTTTATTTTCCCAATGGGCCAAATTAGAAATTTAGTTATATTCACCGGGCCACAAAGTACTTTCTTTAAAAAGTTCAAAACGTTATGAATATCAATTTTTTTTATAACAAACTAGCAGGCATGACCCGGTGTTGCCCGTGCTTGATTCAAAAATCGTACGACTCATACAGCAATCGCTATCACTTGACTTTGAAATATTTTTTGCCCTTCCTTGCCTTTTTTAAAGGAGTGCCCTTTGCCGTGCTGATGTTGCTACATGCTTTACTTCTTGCCTATCCCACACTGCGAATTTTTTCTTCTAAGCTCTATACTAAACATTAAATCTGTTACGAAAAAAGAACTAAACAAAATGAACACAAAGCGATCAGCTTTAAAAAAGGACTCGTAACTGGAAAAACCAAATGAAAAAAGAATGTTAACAACAAATACTTTTCACACCCAACCCAGTTCTGCGGAATCAGAATCAACGTTGAGTTTAAGCAAGCGAATGAACCAATTGGTGTAAAGTGCCATGCAGTTTTAAATTTTTTCCACCTGTGACGAATGCAGCTATCGATATTTTTTTTGCATGCTAGCATGCTAGTTAAGATTCGTGTCAGTCAGCTGTTGGCTCTCACGAATGTTCCTGCCATTCGTGGCAGAAATTGGCTCTCACTCTGGCAAACAAAAATGGCTGCAAACTACATGAAAACTGCCGTAGAAGCATGAAAAAATCGATTATTTCCACTATCGATGGGAGTTGGAAAAATGCAAAGTTCTTGGCCTTCCCGCTCTTGGAGCATGTGCATGTATATTTTGGTGCAAATCCGTCGAAAATTGGGGCCGTGTATTCGTTTACACACACACACACACACACACACACACACACACACACACACACACACACACACACACACACACACATCCTGCCTTTTATAGATAGAGATACATATAATAACATAAAATACTGTATTATTGGTAGCAAAAAAGTAATTATACATACACAAATTAAAATAATACAGTTCTTATGATTCTGTAGCGCCAGACCATAAGAGTTGATGAAGGATTGTCTTCTATGGGATTCATTCGCTTAAAGCCATTTGATTGATCTGAGAAGTTAATTTTTTAAATCAAATTCTCCCAAGCAAGGCAATAATGCCACTAAAGCACAAGAGGCTACTGAGAGTGAAAGAAAATGAGAAACCTTTAGAAGGGACTGCAAAAACAAATCCTAAACGGGAAACAAGGGATAAATCTTTGATTCCATTCAAAAAAAATAAAAAAAATAAAAAATAGGCGAACCTCTCTACTCCTATTGAAGTATATAAAAAAAAAAAAACAGTAAATGAAATTTCAGGGTTTAGGCAGATACGTTAGAAGTATAGAGTTTAGAATTAAAACGAAAACCCAATCCTAAACAGGAAACAAGGGACAAACCTCTGCTGTCGTACGAAAATCAGACTGGTGGGTTAATCGGACAATAGGCAAACCTATCTACTCCTATTGAAGGAAAAAAATAGTAAATGAAATTCCAGGGTTTAGGCGGATACGTTAGAGTTGAAGTAGACTTTAGAATGACTCGGAAACCTAATCCTAAACAGGAAACAAGAGATAGACCTTTGCTTTCGTTCAGAAACCTAGAAAAGTAGGTCAATCAGACAATAGGCAAAACTATCTACTACTATTGAAGGCAAAAAATTCAGAATTTAGACCAGTGTTTTCTAATCGGCAGTTGCCATCCGAGGCTATAGAATCCAGTTACTTCTGTTATTTGCCCATAGCTGGGCGGAGAAGAAGAGGTTTCATACCTTTCCCAAGGGTATTAGCACGTTAAATGACTGTAATGGATTCGACTAGAATTCGAACTCGGCTCTCCGATTCCTATTGTTCGATCGTAACATGTCACGAGTATCCAACAGGATTGAATTTAAACGAATGGAGAAATGCAACGCGAGAACAACTTGTTTCTTATTCTCGCGAGATTTGGCCAACGCGTGACCAGCACTTGTAAACAAGTGTCTCCCCGCCTCTGATATAGAAAAAGCAAAACTCAAGAATTGTGAGGAACGCACGTCTGGACGATGTCACTTTAAGTCCTGGTTTCTCTAAGGAGAGTAGTAAACAGAACCATAAAAATAATGGAATTTCACATCCCGGCATCTTCTTTTCTCATCATTCTGACACTTTGTCAGCCATTTTGAAAACTGGTATTAGATGTTGATATTTGTTGAGTTTATTTTATTTTATTTTCATCACAAACCTTCATTGAACAGAATTCAATGTCAAAACGGTGTAGGAGACAAAAGCGTTTGCCATTGTTCCAAGATGAGTCAATTTATGTTTTTTTTTCAAGGATAATGTCTTTGATTGATTTGATTTTGACAGACTTTTTCATTTTACTTTTGTTTTTAATTGCCCCAGTTTTTCACGGATACTTCATTTATCTTTTCAGATTTCTTCAAATGTTTTACTTTCTTTGTTTCTTTGTTTCTTTTTTTTTCGAAGTCCATACACCTCTTCATTCGTTCGACACTCCATTCTTTCTTTCTTTCTTTCTTTCTTTCTTTCTTTCTTTTTCAAAGTCCATACACCTCTTCATTCTTTCGACACTCTATTCTTTCTTTCTTTCTTTCTTTCTTCTTTCTTTCTTTTAAGGATTTTCTTTTCTTTTTTCGACGTCCATACAATTCTTCATTCGTTCGACACTATTCTTTCTTTCTTTCTTTCTTTCTTTCTTTCTTTTCTTTTCTTTCTTTTTTCTTCTCATTTCTATACTTTATTTCATTTCATTTCTTTCTTTTCTTTTTTCTTTCTTTCTTTCTTTTCAACGTCCATACAAAGCTTCATTCATTCGACACTCCATTCTTTCTTTTCTTTCTTTTTATTTTTCGTCTTTCTTTTTTTCCTTAAATTTTGTTTTTGTTTCTATTCTCATTTTCTTTCTTTATCACGTTCTTTCTTTCTTCACCTTTCTGTTTTTATTCTAATCTTTCTTTTTTTTCTTTCCTTGGACAGAATATTTGTTTTTTATTTTCATCTTTCTCCCTTTCTCTCTTTCATTTTTTCTTTCTTTCTTTCTTTTTTCTTCTCATCTAAATTCTTTTTATTCTCATTTCCATCTTTCTTTCTTTTTGTATTATTTAAACTTATAATTTTTCGCCTTTTCTTTCTTTCTTTCTTTCTTTCTTTCTTTCTTTCTTTTATTTAATTTCAATCTTTCTTTTCTTCTTCTTTTTTTATAAACTTGGCTGACTAATTTTCTTCATTTCCTTAAAAATAAAAAATGATATTTGAAATTGATTGTCCATTTATAGGCAATTATTATATTGATCAGATCTGTTTTTAACAACGTGACAATTATAATCAGAGACGCGCATGAATAGATGAAAACCTCGCAATTTATAATGAAACAATCCTTCCAGTTGATTAAGCGAAGCCATTAGTTTTTCAACCCTTATGTGCGCAAGCGCAGATGTGTCTATCAACTCACGAAAAAATCTTTGATTCTCTGAGCAGAGAATCGTGACTCGAATAGTTTGGAATGAAATTGATAATGTTACTATGGAAACAATACTTCCTTGAAAAGATATTTGTGACATGTAAGTACTGTAGATTTTACAGGTACACAAATACACTAATTAGGCCTGGAAATGCGTTATATTAAGCATCCAATGAGAGAGGACTTGCTTGTGAATTTACTTCTTTTTATCTTAATTCGCTTCTAACATTCGTCTTCCTTCATAACATCATTTTATTATTCTTTTCCTTTTTCTTATTTTTTCTTCTCTATCTTTTTCTTCTCTTTCTTTTTCATAAACATTTTGTTTTCTTTCTCATCTTCATTCTTTTCTTTCTTTCATTTCTCCTTTCTTTCTTTTTCCTTATCTGCATTCTTTTTTCTCTTTTTCCTTCTTTCTTTCGTATATTCGAATATTCATTTTTGTTCGCATCAACAGTTATTCATTTTTCTTCTTTCCTTTTTCTGTCCTTTCTTTCACTCTCGTATTCTCCTCTTTTTTTTTCTTATGAATCTGCTTTTTAAGTTTTTCTTTTTTTTCTTTTTTCTTTTCTTTATTATTTCTTTCTTTAGCTTGTTCCCATTTCTTTTTCAAAAACATTCTTCCTGCCTTTTTCTTTATGTGCATTCTTTCTTATTCTCTCTTTTTTTTATTTCTTTTTTATTGTATTTTCATTTTTGGTTCGTAAACATTCTTTTGCCTTCCTCTTCATTTGAATTCTTTCTTTCTATCTTTCTTTCTTTCTTTCTTTCTTTCTTTCTTTCTTTCTTTCTTTCTTCTCATCTAAAGTTTTCTTCTTCTTTTTCTTCTTTCTTTCCTACCCTCTCCTCATCTACGTTCTTTCTTTATTCTTTCTTTAATTATTTCTTTTTATCTTTCTTTCTTTCTTTCTTTCTTTCTTTTTTTCACGTCTACAGTCTTTGTTATTTCTTCTCATTTTCTTTCTTAACATCTACGTTCTTTCCTTCTTTCTTTCCTATTTTCTTTCTTTGTTCTCATCTACATTTATTCATTTGTCTTTTTTTGCTGTACTTTCTTTATTTCTTGTATTCTCCTCATTTTTTTCATAAGCATTCTTTCCCCTTTGTCTTTCTTCTCGTTTGTATTCATTTCTTTCTTTCTTTCTTTCTTTCTGTTGAGATGTTGTGAGTTCCCCGCGTGTCGGTGTATGAAACAAGACAAACACAGTTGTAGAGGAAAATACTGGTATATTCATAAAAGCAATTAACAATAGAGTGATTAGTAGAACGAAGGTTGGTTAGTACGAAACAATATCCAAAGTCTATAGTCCAACGGTATGTACCGGTAAGCTTATCTGGACTGCTCACGCTGACTCTCTCTCTGACGCTCTCGCCACTTCTCTCCAGAGCTGACTTATAAAGATGGACCAGTCCATTACTAGTTAGAAGGTGGGTGCGCCCAACACTTTTTTTTTTTAAATTCTTTCTTTCTTCCTTCCTTCCTTTCATTTCTTTCTTTTAATTATTTTTTCTTTCTTTCTTTATTTCTTTCTTTTTAGAAAATTTTTTTTCTTCGTTCATTCTTTCTTTTATCCTCCTTTTCCTTTTCAAAAAAAAAATTTCTTCCTGCTTTTCTCATAATCTGCATTGTCTTTCTTTTAACTTTCTTTCTTGCTTTTTTTATTGTGTCTTCTTTTTTAGTTCATAAACATTCTTTTTGCTTTCCTCTTCATCTGAATTCTTTCATTCTTATTTACTTTCTTTCTTTCTTTTTTGCCTCGTTTTCCCGACCAAGGTCAGAATACTGGATTTGCTAATCATCAATTAGGAGGAGGAAAACAAGCCACATTCATGATTCTGTTTCGTTTTCAGGAATAATGAGAAGATTTTATTAAACAGAAGATAAAAAAAGGAGACTTAAAATCAGATATATATACAGAAGGATGCTGAGGATAGCATAATAACCACATGAAGTCCTAAAACAACAAAACGACACTTATACTTAACACCAAAAGAGGTAGTTTTCTGGTTTACAAGAAAGGTGGGCTTGGAAAAATCAGATACTCACAGGACTTTTTTGTTGAGGAAAACAGGGACAGAGGAAAGCAGCGCGTTACATTGTTGATGAGCTTCAGCAAAAAATGGTAGAAAAGTGAATTAACTAATCAAAGATTCTAAGGTAAAGATGAAGGGGTAGAAATCGTCAAAAAGAATACATAAAAAAGATTCTAAGAAAAAAAAAAGATAACCATGTTTGCTTTCCTAGAAGTGCCGAGAAGAAAATAGTTTATTAAACTAGCAGAGTGGGCGTTGCCCGGGGATTTAACTGTAAAGATAGATAAGTATCCAATCATAAAGACTCAAAAAAAGAAACCATCATTCTTAAGTTTTTTGTTTTGTTTTGAAAGTTTTTTTTTTTTTTTTTTTTTTTCCTTGGTTTTTAATTATTAACTACCTTCCTATAGGAACCGGATTGTTGCCTCTCCAAAGATGGAAAGAGGTCTTCATGACCATCATAAAATACTAAAATCATTTTAACTTATTTAACAAATTATAAAGAGATATTTGGTTAGTCTATTGTAATTTGGTCTTCCAAAAAAGGAACTTCAAACATGTAAAATATCATTTTTAACTTATTTTGGGATAAAGAGGAAAAGAGGTTTCTTTTTTTTTTTTTACAATGAGATACATGATAAATCATTTTTAACTTATTTAACCAGAAGATGGGATAAAGAGATAGAGGAAAAGAGGTTAGTCTATTGTAATTTAGTCTTTCCAAAAAGGAACTCGTATGATACACGAGATGATAAAATATTTTAACTTATTTTTTAAGATGGGATAAAGAGATAGAGGAAAAAGAGGTATTTAAAAAGGAACTCGCCTGATACACGAGATACATGATAAAATCATTTTAACTTATTTAACTAGAAGATGGGATAAAGAGATAGAGAAAAGAGGTTATGCTATTGTAATTTGGTCTTTCCAAAAGGAACTTGTATACACGAGATACATGAAATCATTTTTTAACTTATTTAACTAGAAGATGGGATAAAGAGATAGAGGAAAAGAGGTTAGTCTATTGTAATTTGGTCTCTCCAAAAAGAACTCTTTACACGAGATACATGATTCATTTTTTTATTTAACTAGAAGATGGGATAAAGAGAAAGGAAAAGAGGTTAGTCTATTGTAATTTGGTCTTTCCAAAAAAGGAAATCCTCATACATACGAGATACATGATAAAATCATTTTAACTTATTTAACTAGAAGATGGGATAAAGAGATAAAGGAAAAAGAGGTTAGTCTTTGTAATTTGGTCTCTCCAAAAAGGAACTCGCATGATACACGAGACATGATAAAAATCATTTTAACTTATTTAACTAGAAGATGGGATAAAGAGATAGAGGAAAAGAGGTTAGTCTATTGTACTTGGTCTCTCAAAAAGGAATAATACACGAGATACATGATAAAAATCATTTTTAACTTATTTAACTAGAAGATGGGATAAAGAGATAGAGAAAAGAGGTTAGTCTATTGTAATTTGGTCTCTCCAAAAAGGAACTCGCCTGATACACGATTTTAACTTATTTAACTAGAAGATGATAAAATCATTTAATTTGGTCTCCAAAAAATTTAAAAATCTAGAAGATGGGATAAAGAGATAGAGGAAAATTCCAATCTATTGTAATTTGTCTCTCCAAAAAAGGAACTTTGATACACGAGATACATGATAAAATCATTTTAACATATTTAACTAGAAGATGGGATAAAGAGATAAGGAAAAGAGGTTAGTCTATTGTAATTTGGTTCTTTCCAAAAAGGAACTAATACACGAGATACATGATAAAATCATTTTTAACTTATTTAACTAGAAGATGGGATAAAGAGATAGAGGAAAAGAGGTTAGTCTATTGTAAAAAAACGAACTGCCTGATACACGAGATACATGATAAAACTATTTCTAACTTATTTAACTAGAAGATGGGATAAAGAGATTTTAGTCTTTGTAATTTGGTCTCTCCAAAAAGGAACTCGCCTGATACACAAGATACATGATAAAAATCATTTTTAACTTATTTAACTAGAAGATGGGATAAAGAGATCGAGAAAAAAAGAGGTTAGTCTATTGTAATTTGGTTCTCAAAAAGGAACTCGCCTGATACACGAGATACATGATAAAAAATCATTTTTAACTTATTTAACTAGAAGATGGGATAAAGAGATAAATGGAATGAGGTTAAAAGGAAACTTATGATACACGAGATACATTTTTTTAACTTATTTAACTAGAAAAATAAAGATAGAGAGGAAAAGAGGTTAGTCTATGTAATTATTTTACACGAGATACATGATAAAATCATTTTTAACTTATTTAACTAGAAGATGGGATAAAGAGATAGAGGAAAAGAGGTTAGTCTATTGTAATTTGGTCTCTCCAAAAAGGAACTCATACTGATACACGAGATACATGATAAAATCATTTTTAACTTATTTAACTAGAAGATGGGATAAAGAGATAGAGGAAAAGAGGTTAGTCTATTGTAATTTGGTCTCTCCAAAAGGAACTCCTGATACACGAGATACATGATAAAATCATTTTTAACTTATTTAACTAGAAGATGGGATAAAGAGATAAAGGAAAAGAGGTTAGTCTATTGTAATTTGGTCTCTCCAAAAAGGAACTCGCCCTGATACACGAGATACATGATAAAATCATTTTTAACTTATTTAACTAGAAGATGGATAAAGAGATAGAGGAAAAGAGGTTAGTCTATTGTAATTTGGTCTCTCAAAAAGGAACTCGCCTGATACACGAGATACATGATAAAATCATTTTTAAATTATTTAACTAGAAGATGGGATAAAGAGATAAAGGAAAGAGGTTTGTCTATTGTAATTTGGTCTCTCCAAAAAGGAACTCGCCTGATACACGAGATACATGATAAAATCATTTTTAACTTATTTAACTAGAAGATGGGATAAAGAGATAGAGGAAAAAGAGGTTAGTCTATTGTAATTTGGTCTTGCTCACGAGATACAAAAAATCATTTTAACTTATTTAACTAGAAGATGGATAAAGAGATAGAGGAAAAGAGGTTAGTCTATTGTACTTGGTCTCTCCAAAAAGGAACTGCCTGATACACGAGATACATGATAAAATCATTTTTAACTTATTTAACTAGAAGATGGGATAAAGAGATAGAGGAAAAGAGGTTAGTCTATTGTAATTTGGTCTTTCCAAAAAGGAACTCGCCTGATACACGAGATACATGATAAAATCATTTTTAACTTATTTAACTAGAAGATGGGATAAAGAGATAGAGGAAAAGAGGTTAGTCTATTGTAATTTGGTTCTCCAAAAAAAAGAGATAGGAACTCCATGATACACGAGATACATGATAAAATCATTTTTTAACTTATTTAACTAGAAGATGGGATAAAGAGATAGAGGAAAAGAGGTTAGTCTATTGTAATTTGGTCTCTCCAAAAGGAACTCGCCCTGATACACGAGATACATGATAAAATCATTTTTAACTTATTTAACTAGAAGATGGGATAAAGAGATAGAGGAAAAAGAGGTTAGTCTATTGTAATTTGGTCTCTCCAAAAAGGAACTTCGTTGATACACGAGATACATGATAAAAATCATTTTTAACTTATTTAACTAGAAGATGGATAAAGAGATTTTAGTCTATTGTAATTTGGTCTCTCAAAAAAGGAACTCGCCTGATACACGAGATTTGATAAAACTATTTTTAACTTTATTTAACTAGAAGATGGGATAAAGAGATAGAGGAAAAGAGGTTAGTCTATTGTAATTTGGTCTCTCCAAAAAAGGAACTCGCCTGATACACGAGATACATGATAAAATCATTTTAACTTATTTAACTAGAAGATGGGATAAAGAGATTTATTGTAATTTGGTCTCTCCAAAAGGAACTCGCCTGATACACGAGATACATGATAAAATCATTTTAACTTATTTAACTAGAAGATGGGATAAAGAGATAGAGAAAAGAGGTTAGTCTATTGTAATTTGTCTCTCCAAAAAGAACCCGCCTGATACACGAGATACATGATAAAATCATTTTTAACTTATTTAACTAGAAGATGGATAAAGAGATAGAGGAAAAGAGGTTAGTCTATTGTAATTTGGTCTCCAAAAGGAACTCACCTGATACACGAGATACA